CTGCAGGCAGGTTTGAAATCAAGGCGAGCACGCAGTGACATTTGCCTTGCTGTGCCTCCCTGGCTGCGAGAACCTGAAGTGTAGGGACTTTTAGGCCCAGGATTCTCAAGTGAAGCTTGAACTTCTTTTCATGCCTGCATAAGTGACAAGCAAAGGTCACTTAACCAAATTATTTGTTTGTAAAGGTGTTGGCTGGTAGAGAGTCTATACTTACAACCGTTAACGTTGGAAAAGACCTTTAAGATCATCAAGTCCAACCATCACCTTAACGCTGCCATGACCATTAAACCGTGCCCTGATGTACCACGTCCACATCTGTTTGAACACCTGCTGGGATGGTGGCTCCATCTCCCTGGGCAGCCTGTCCCAATGCCTCGCCACTCCTGTAGTAAAGACATTCCTCCTGATATGCAGTCTAAACCTTCCCTGGTGCAACTTAAGCCCGTTCCCTCCAGTCCTGTCACTTGTTACTTGGGAGAAGAGATCCAACACCCACCTCACTACAATCTTCTTTCAGGTAGCTGTAGAGCACAATAAAGTCTCCCCTCAGACTCCTTTTCTCCAGTCTTAACAGTCCCAGTTCCCTCAGCTGCTCCTCGTAAGACATGTTCCCCAGACCCTTCACCAGCTTCATTGCCATTGTCTAGAAATTACAGGAATCTTTGGAAATTAGTCTGGAATCTACTTAAAATAGTCTTTGCAGCTTTGGGTGAGCTTTACAGGTTGTCTGGTGGTGCTGTGATGGAAGTCGCCAGACCGTGCTTTAAGACCTGAATGAGAAAGTTCAAGATTTTTGTTGTTCTGCTGCTGTTGAAAGTGGCTATCTCACTTTCTTATCTCTCAGCTTCTGTGTAACATGAAACACGGTTCCATGATTCTTCAGAATAAGAGTCTATTTAAACTGTATAATTTTGGTCAATAACTTGCACTCGCTTTCTCCATTTGCTGTCATGAATCACTAGAGCAGGTAATAAGCCAAACATGTCACGAAGGCGTAGTTGCTATGAAGGTCTTTTCCTTTCCCTAAGTATACTGTTCCATTCAGACCAGCCAAATCTTCTACCTCACACACAGCTAGGGATTTTTTCACTCTTGTTTCCTTGCTTCTTCTGTTGTAGTAGTAAAGTATTCTGTGTACATTCCTTTTATAGGATCATAGCAATGGTTTTGGGAAGTGACCTCAGGAGGTCAGGTAATCCACCCTGACACTTGAAGCACGACTGTTGCCAACACTACATTTGTAGTCTGCCTTTGCAGGTAGACTTAGACAAAGGTCTACCTTTGTTTAAGCAAGCCTTGGAAACATCCAAGCATGGAGCATCCATCACTTCCCTGCCTGGCCTGTTACAGTGCTGCCCTGCCTTCTTGAGTTTTTTTTTTTCTTCAGATACAGGTCAAGGCTTTCAAGCTGCAGTTAGTAGTTTTTCACAATGTCCCTGGAAAACATTGCTGCTTGACTTATTCCTGTTCTAAGCTAGGATTGCAGCAGAAGGATTTTTTTTTCTTTTAAGTAAACCAGATTGCCCACTGTCTTTTGTAACCAACCTGGGAGACTTATGGGGTGATACTTCTCAGATGTCCGTGTGGTGGTTTTTTCCTCATGTTATGTGTACAAAACATTTGTCTACTTATCCTGAGAATTCCTCATTTTTAAAATGTGAAGTGAGGAGCTTAGGTAATGTAAGTCTACCACCAGTGGCTAGCTGAACATCTGAGGATGACTTCAAAAGATGTTTTATTCCAAAACTCTCTTCCTGAAATTAGCCACCTCTTAAATTCTTCTACCTTGTGCCAGCCAATTTGTGTACTGAGACATCAGCATTTGGAGAAGTCTGAATCACTCTTCAGATCTCTCCATGACCGAATGTAGTCTGATGTCTGGTGAGGAGAAGCAATCTGTGCTCGGATAACTGCTGTATCAGAACAGTTTTGTAAGTGGGTAAAGCTAAGCTTCCCAGGACAGTGTTAATTTTGTACCTGTTATCGTGGACTTCTTAGAATTGACATGCTTGACTGTGATGTCAGTAATAATATTGAATTGTCCTTTGCCTGGAGGATTTAGATCCAGAGACCACCTCTCTAGCCAGTACTATTTCCCTGTTATAATCTCTGTTGATCTCCTCTGTTGGTGGGGTGGAGTGTTGCTAGTGGGACACGTATGAAGAGACTCGTGACTTTCCCCCTTCCTCCAAGCTGCCTGCTGGTCTGCTTGGGCACGCTCAGTTTGGCTGGTTTTCCTGTTGGGAGTGCCATCAGTAATGGAATGTGATCTGTGCAGGCTTCAGTAGCAACTCTTACCTGAACATTAAGAATCCTTACTCGGTTTAAAAAAGTATGAATGGCTCCAAAGGGCACTTAATGTTAGATTGAAAATTGTTTATCAAGGATGCTGATCTGCAGTAATTCATACACTTCTCATAAAAAATCGAGAGCGTTCAGGTGAATCTCCTTCTCCAGTGAAGAACAGCTAATCCAAGGCTGTGGTTCTGTCACCAGCTGAGGCAGTGCAATTCCTTGCTGTTGCAATGAGAAAGTTCATCCCTGTCTTCCTCTGGGCAATGTGTTCCTGGCCTCTGCATTGTCCCTGCTGGGTTACTTGTTAAATCCTTTCTTGAGCTTACTAACATGGCAGAAAACTACCCAGCTCTTTGCCAGACTATTTTTTTTGCTGCATTAATGAGCTGAAGTGGCTTGTAAAGTTATGAGAAGCGTGCACTAGCCAGCGGCGAGCAGCAGGGCTGCGTGGCTTGGGGCAGGGGGAGCAGGATGGTGGTTGCTCCTGTGGGGAGCTGACCCTGCAGCTCTCAGCTGCCTGCCTCTCCTGGATCTGCAACCTGGATTCAGGATGGACAACACAGTGTATTAGTGAAACACTGTATCTGAGCCACAGATGCATGTGAACCTTTTTTTTTTTTTTTTTTTTTGTTTCCTCTAGAATTTCTTGGTTTGACTAAACTTGAGTGAATTTTCATAGGGAGGAAAAGCTCTTCAGTTGATTCATGGTGAGAAAATAGATGGCTTGCTGTTGAAAGGGGGAGGTCTTGTTCCTGAAAGCACTCACCTTCCTTTTGCTGTCTCCATCTCTCGTCTGGTTGCACAGTAACAGTTTGGCTTGCTATGCTGCTAAAAACTGCTTTTTAAAAGTGTTTTAGGGTAAGTCTTTTGATGGTTTAGGCAGTTGAATTGGTTTACCGTGCAAGCAGATAACTGCCAAAACCTGTGCCAGGTAAACAGTTGAACCATGCTGGGAGTGCGGGACTAGAGTAAGGGAAGGGATTTTGAGACTGAGAGGGAAGAGTGAGAGACCTCTCCCTTTCCACAGCAGCAAGCTACCCTGTCTGTAATTAATGTCTGTAGACCAAACTAGTCTGAAACCACAGCAGGCCGAATTTCGGGTTGTTACTCAAGAGCTGCTAGAGTTATTGACAAACCTCTATAAGAAGGTAAATGTGGACATCCTTGCCTTCTCTTTGGAATGAGCTTCTGTTCAAACCTAAAATAGTCTGTCAGTCTGAATATGTCGTTTAAATCCTCATAGCTCAGTTTTCAGTTGCTGCACAGATTAAATTGTGGAGCAGCTTAATTATAGGAAGAAGAACTGATCTCATCTGTACTTTTATTCATGTTCTTTTAAGACTTTTATTACACAAAAGTTGTGGTGATGACTAATATGGCTCTAACTTGGTACATTAAACTAAAACCACGGGCAGCTGTGATAATTGTATTATTCTTGTGCATGATTTCTTGCTCTCTGGTAGTTTGAATGGTTATTTTAGCCTAGAAGTGGTTTTGTCATGTGGTCACTGGTTTTGTGATAGTTAGCTAGCTTTTTATTTCTGCTTTCAGCAAACACAGGTCACTGTACAAGATTCTACATGTCAAGATGCATAATTACACAAATCTTACATTTTCAGCTTTCTTTTACCTTTTTCACACGAATCTTTTTGTATATATCTGTCTGAATTGGAGAAGTGTTTTAATACAACTGGTGATTGTCTGCACTCTTTCAGTCCGAAATCGAGCTGTTTGTGAACAGGCTTGACTCGGTGGAGTCTGTGCTTCCCTACGAATACACTGCGTAAGTACATCATGCTGTTCATGCCATTTTAGTTTTCAGCTCTTCCAAAGAGGTTAATTGATCTTAGCAAGTAGTCTCTGCGTCTTGCTGCAGCAGTCTGCCAGTGAGGAATGTCTGTTTTGCTAACACAAGTTTACAAACAGAGAACTTCCAACGAGCAGATAGACGTACATTGCTTCCTCCTTCTCCATTGTCTTTGCTCGTACTTCAGAAGCAGTACACGGATTCCTGGGTCCTCACGTAGGTCACATCACTGCTTTAGAGTAACTTAGGGTGAAAATGTGTGTGTGTGTATATAGTACTCACTCTTCTATGTTAGTTGTCGTTTGACAGATCAAAGTATTACTGCTGTCCTTAGTAACCTGTAGCCAGATGAGTTAAAGTGGTAATGAGGTGTGAACTTCCCATCAGTTCTCCTAATGAGGTGTTAAACGTTTCTCTGGTGCATATCATAGAAGTGCAGAAAATGTATCAGTGCCTGGTACAGCTATCTTAAGTTGTTGCTTCAAAGAGTATTTTGACTGTTAATATTGAAGAGGTTAGGCACTGGTTACACATTAATGAACACATACGTGATATGCTTCATATTAGTCTGGAAAAACTTGGAGAAGGTACTGTTAAATGTGTTGGTGAGTAAAACTGCAACAACCTGTTTATTTAATAGTACTTGTTGTAAAGGAGCTCTCTGCAGGGGTGTGTGTGTATAGACATTTATTATTTTTAATATATTATTATATTTATCATTCTCCCCTGCCTGACAATCTGGCCTGCATGCTTTTCTCTGAGTTGTCATGAGACTATGTGATGGTTTAATTCTTGGCTAAAAACCCCTGTTCAAACAGGAAACTTCTAATTATGGAAGAAAACTTTTATGCTACCATTTTTAATATAAACTGAGTTCTGGAATAGCTGATGAAGAGATTTCACTGTTGATTTGGTTTAGTTTCAAAACAGGACTGTGATTTTCACACTCTGCTTTGCAGCTTCAAGGAAGAAACTGCTACCTAGGAGGAAAGTTGTATAGTTCCTTTACTTGTGATAAAAGTGTTGATTTGGGGGCACTGCTTGAGGTCTAATATTTGCAGCTGAGAATGGTTTATTAACTTTTGTATTTTTCCTCTAATTCAGGTTTGATTTTTGTCAAGCAGAAGGGAAGAAGCGTCCTTCCGAAAACCTTGGCCAAGTATTGTTTGGAGAGAGGATAGAACCATCTCCTTACAGGGTTTGTTCTCTGACAATGGGTATTCAGTAATACATACATTCAAACGTAACCAAAGGAGAGTAGAATCTTGAAGAACCTCTTCACAAGGGCTTTAGCTCAAATAGCTTCAAAAGCTGAAATTCCACATAATAGAAATCTCTCAATTTAACCTAATAGTAACTATGCACTTGTCATCATGAAGCTGTAGCCTGAAATGCTGTGGAAGTTGTCTTCTCTTTGGAAGCCTCCAAAACCTCATTCTTGTTCCTCAGCAGTCCCCTTGTTAGAGAGGACTGAGTGCTCTTTATTTCTTGGAACCAGATCTGAAAATACCACAGCTGTAAAATTAAACAGAAATGGTGTCAGCCAGCTTGTCTCTTCTGGTGGCTGAAGTTCCCATCTACTCTTGTATGGTTAGTAGGGGAGAAAGTCACCAATCCAGTCTGCCTGGGCTGGCATTGCTGCTGTGAGGTCGAATGACTTGTCTGGTAAATCATTGCAGAAAACATGTTTTAATCAGTAGAAAGGAGCTCTTAGTGCACCCACAGTGAGTGCAGAAGGGTTTTGTAGCACATGCCAATATAAAAACACCCTCTGGAGGGTTAAGATATGTAGTCTTGGTAATTTAAGTGCTTTTATTGTGATAGTATAGGCAATTATAAATGCTTAGGGGAAACTTGTCAAATACTGAAACGATACAAAGTTTGTTACAACCTTTTTGCTCATATTTCTTTCCTTGTTTTTTAGTTCTCATTCAACAAGATGGAGACATGTAAATCCGTTTGTACAAAAACATACGATACCACAAAGCCAGAAGATAAACAAAAATTAGACTTCTTGAAAAAAAGTATGCTACTGAATTATCAACATCATTGGTAAGTTGATAACAAAATTCATAGATTGGTTAGTCTAGTATGTTGATGATGATTTAGTTTGTTGATGATGATTTAGTTTGTTTTATACTTGCAAGCTAATACAGATTGAATGCTAGGTATTTGTACTGAATTTATTCCCCTTCTGTTCTTGCAAAAGAAGTTTTGTTGGTTGTCTTCATAAAAAAACTCCTTTCACTTGAAGGACGAGCACTAGGTATAATGGAAATGAGTGTTTCCAAACACAAAGCTGCCTGTGTGCTTACTGTAAAATGCTGCTTGAGTCTGACTGTAAATGTAGAAGTTAATCAAACCCTAACGTGAGAAAACTCAAGGGACCTTAATTCTGTTGCTGTGTCATCTTGATTTTCCTCGAGAGCCTTTGCATCCCCCTTCAGATGATGTGTCCAGGAGATAGGATCAATGGTTCTGAAAGAGTTTTATGCAAGGTTTGTTTCTCATATAGGATATAGAAGTGAAAGGTGGCCAGTGAAAATTAATGAAGTAATTTTGAGGAGCACTGAAACACTTGGTGTTTGAGGCCTTCTGTAACTATCCAAGTCACCCTGGAACATGCTGGGGCTCTGTTTCTCCTTGGACATTGAGGTCCTCTTCCTCATTAGGGGTGGGGCAAGGCTGAACAGGTACCCCGAGCCTCATGCAGGTTTGCAGTTAGGATGTTCTGCACCCGCATCCAGGAGCTGGGAAACGTTTATCAGCAGGCTCCAGCTTGACACTGGAAATACCCAGTCATGCTTTTGGTGTTTGTGGAGTGCTTTGTGTGTTGTGCCTTTGGGTGCAAGGGTAAAAGGAACAACTGGGGTATGAAGTTGTCAGAGTTCCTGTGGCATGTCTTTGCAAGTAATAAATGAGCATAATTAACTGATGTTGCCAGTTGATTCCAAATCCGTGATCCCTGTGTCACAGAAACAAATGGTTTGGTCTTCATTTAATTTGATTAAAACTTTCTGGATATATTAATAAAAACACAGGTGAGATGTTGAATGTGGCTGCTGTCATTAAATGTTTTCTTGTAATGTCACATTTGCTTTTTTCAGTTCTGAAACAGCAACCTGTGTTGGAAAGGCAACAAGCGTGTTTTCTCCTGCTCTTGGGGACTGATATGGGATATCGCTTTTTTAGGGATAAACTGTGACTTGCTGATACAAGTCTTTGTGGAAGCCTCTTGAAAATTAGTGTAGTTGGAAGTTGATAGATAAGATTAGAAAGTATGGCTATGGCCTGTGAACCTTTTGTGTAGGTGAACCAGGAAGCACTAAGGAAACCCTGAAAGGTACAGCTACTTTTGTAAGGGTTAAAAAGGTATATGTGTAATGCTGACGTAAGCAGAGCTTCAGACATGCTGGATTTGGTTATATTCCTATTAAATACTGCATATATTTGTAATATTTGCACCACTTTCTATTTCACGGATGTGTGTTAGTCTGGCATAAAGCTTCAGCTTCAGAAGTTTGTGTACGCTTTGGTATATAAATGGGCAAATAGTTTCCCAAGGCTGTGATCCTGTTGCTGTTTGAAAGAAATTTTTTTTGGAGGGAAGCCCAAAATATAAGCTGGCAGAAACTGAAACAACTGTGTAAAGCTAATGACGCAGAAAAGTAACTCAGACTGGTTTGTCCCCCTCAGATTAAATTGTTTTATAAATATACTTAGTGTATTTAAGTGTATATTTTTTAGCCTGTACAGCTAACTTGATAGCACTGTGCAGATTTTAGAAAGATGTAGTTCTGTTTTTCAGAGTGAAAACTTCGCTTTAAATCTAGGGTACTTCTTAGATTCTTAGCTCTTTAAATAGCACTTCTGCATTCTATTTTTTTTTTTTTTTTTTTTTTTGCTAGGCCTACTGCCCTAAAACTTTAGAACCAGTGGCATAAAGAATCCCTTTTTGTGGCTGTGTGGCAATGATAGTCCTGGTCAGCCAAGTGGCTGGGTTTTGTGATGATTGAGGCATGGGCCAGGGCTGTGTTGTACAGGGATTAGCAAGGTAGCATTAGTGAGGATTTAATAGAGGTTTACTGTCCACCTTCAGTTTATCATAGAATTCCTGGGGAACACAGATGGTGCAAAATACTTTTAAGGTTTTAAAAGCCACTTAATAAGATTAGGAGTTGATATACTGAATTGGACTCAACAGCTACACTGGTACCTTGTCTGACAACGTTCATCACCAGATGTTCTTAACAGACGTGTAGGAACACTGCTGTACAGCGTATTGGCCCCACATGTATATAATCTCCTCAAGACATTTTGAATTTGAAGATTAACTGTGAAAAATCATTTGCTTCTTAAACTACTGATTTGTTCCAGCGGTGCTGCTTGAAGGCAGCTCAGCATCTTTTCTGCAGGAGATGCAAGGGAAAGCCTTTACCCCAGCCATACTCATTGGCAATATGCTAAGGCTTTACCTGGTTTTGATTAGGAAATTAAAATGCTAACAAAAGCAAGAGGTATGTCTAGCATTTAATTTATTGTGGAGGTAGAAGTCCAGATGTGGTCCAAGTGTAATAAATGTAGATCTGGAACAGCTCCTAATTTGCAACTTAATTGTTGTACCCCATAGTAGAATGGTTAAGTGAGTAGGACTTGGTTGCTGCTGCTGCTTGTGACTGGTAGTCTGGAATCTACTGAGAGCCTGGAACGTGTGGTTTTGGAGGGCCTGTCTTTACCTTTTCCATTGGGTCAGTATGAGCCAAGAAGATGGCTACTGATTTCTGCCTGGTGGCTAATGGTAGGGATGGTGCAGGTCTCTTTATGCTGTGTGAACAAAGGCAGCATGTGCTGCTGCTCTTTCTACCCCCAGCTGTTGATGTGCTTTAAAAAACAGTGATACTTTCCAGACTGCTACAGTATGCAACAGACTACTGCTTTTGGTCTGGTCTGAAGTCATAATTCCTGGGTTTAATTGGGTATTTTAAAGTACCTAGTGAGGTATTATCAAGTATCTGTTAACATTAATAGCCTAGTGGTTAAAATGATGAGACATTTAATTATAAAGGATATTCCGTGGCTTGATAAGCTTTACAGAAAAATGTATGTTGTTCACTTTCAGTCAGATGTCGGGGTTTTTTGGTCTAGTGATGCACAAAAAGTGGCAGTTGTTTCATGTTTTCCTGTGTGAAGTTTATTAATAGACCTTTAAAATCTTACCTTAGAGTAATTAATGCTGCCATAAGGTCAGATACTGAATTTTAAGTTGTCTTTAAATTACTTTCATTTGGGATTTATCAGCTAGATAAAACAGTTCCTAGCATAAAGAAACAGGATTTTTTTAAAATTTTTTTTTTTTAATGGTTGCTTTTACGATGGGACAGGTCACCATGCTTGGTATCTTTCTCTATGTTTAAAAGCATATTTTTGGTTTTTGACATTTCTACTGCTTGTAGCACATCAGATACTGCTTTTGTCCTACCATTTTCTGTAACTCCTCACAGAGGTGTGGAGGTCCTCCACAAATTTTTTTTTTTTATTGAAACTGAACTATAAATGTGCTGGGCTCAGGACTTCTTATGAATATAAATCTTGTGAAGTGATAATAGAAAAGCAACAGACAATGGAGGGAGGTTTGAAAGTGATTACTTTCCCAAATGTGTGGTGGCTTACAGTATTTTGCTCAAGTAAACCATCTAGTTAAAATATTCCATACTCACAGGGAACTACAGCTGAGGTTAACTGTAATATACTTAGGGGAAAAAAAAATTTAAACTTGCACTTTACCTTTAATGCAAAATAATAGTTTAAACAGTGCCAATAAAAATGTATTTTGCAATAGAAGAATATTGAGGAAGCTGGAGAAATAATGTGTGTGTAGGCAAACATTTTATTTTGTGTTTTGTCTTAAAATTGAAATTATCTGGTTCATTTCAGTTGGTTTTAGTGGGTGATTTGGGCCATTTTTAAAGATAAACTGATGAAACATTAAATTGTTATGACTTTGGAGAGGGAGAGTTCTGTGCATTGGGCTGTATTTGTAAGGGGACCTCAGAAACCGGCTGAGTGAAGAGAATGTTTTGGTGGTCACAGAGTAAGCTTCCTGTTTCTAAGACACCTTCTGAAGAAAGATTGATTTTAAACACTATTTAAAAAAAAAGTTTCAGCTGAAGAGATACAAGCTTATATCTCAACTGGAAATTGGATTGGCAGTCAATGCAATTCTATGGGTTAAGATCTGAAAAGTATTATTCCTGTAACCATTCTTCCAATAATGAATGTAGCTGATTATTAATCTGGTTTTGTTCCCATCACACTGTGTATTTTGCAAGGTTGTGAAATGTCACTATGCCATTTACAGGATTGTGGATAACATGCCTGTGACCTGGTGTTATGAAGTTGAAGATGGGCAGAGGTTCTGCAATCCTGGTTTTCCTATTGGCTGTTACATTACAGAAGATGGCCGTCCAAAAGATGCCTGTGTTATTAATGTATGTTTATGCAATTAATTTGTTTTTAATATCCTCTTTTTACTAATTTAGACTGGCATTTCTCCTATGTTTCTATGGTGAGGCCTCACTATCTTAAGAACCCGTTGCCTGAAACTGGGTGTTTTGGTATCTCTGTGAGTACGACAAGTTGTAAGCCTCATCTAAGTCTAAGAACTTTGTCTCTTCTGCATAATACAGAAGGGTTCTAAAAGACAGAAGAGATGAATGGGCATAACATTTAGTACACATCAGGGTGAAAGAGAAGGAAAGCACATGCTCCTTCATTGCCTAAGGAGTTTAAACATGTAAAGATGTGGACTTTGTGGGGTGGAAATGTTTTCAGGGAAGCAGATTTGCATAGACATATTTGTACCTTTGCACAGAAATGAATACTTCTTGAAGGGTTGCTTTTCTTAAAACTCTGTGGGCTAGTGGAACAAGGCAGAATATTAGATTTGAGCGAACAAAGCTTCTCCTGAGAGACAGATCTGTTGAATTAACTGGTGGACGTCCAGATAAATGCAGTGAATGCCATAGCATGTCCATGGTGTCTTTAGACTGCTGCAGACCTCTTCCACAGAGGGGTCACCAAGAACCTGGAAGTTTTTTTGCTGTATCAAAATGATTGGTTTTACTTAATGGATCTCAGCAAAGATAATAGTTTCTGCACTTTCTACTTTTGTTCCCTTGCCTCCAGAATGAATTGGTGTCAGAGGCTCCGTGTGGATGGATGCATTTACAATCAAATATGTAATCTGACAAAATTCTTTTGATCTTGTTTAAATACTTTTTTTTTTAATAAAAGGAGAACAACCTTTGAAAGAGTCCCTGAAGAACTGTAGAACACTTTATGTAACTTTTTCTAATTAGGCTACTTTATAGAAAGGGGTATGGATAGAACCCTGAAGAAGTACTAATTGAACTTTAGACATAATGCTTGTGATTTAACAGCCTCTTTAACTGATTAAACTCCAAGCTGATGTTTCCCTTCAGCTGACATTTGTATTCAGCATTCCTGGCTGCTGCTTGAAGTTCATCCCTGTGCATCTTTGGTCTCAAAGATGGTTCTGTTACAGAGGGCAATTATCTGCATTGTTTGTTTTAGAAGATTCCATTTAATCTATGAAAAATCTACACATTGTTTTAAAATAGCTGATGTTTATGAAACGTTTCTGATATGAAAGTTGCCACAGTTACTCATCTAGTTTGCTACTTAAATAAAATGGGATATCTTCAGTTAATTAAATACTTCAATAAATACATTTGTATTTAGAAATACTTTTTATATTTAAATATATTTTTGTACTTTTCAACTGTAGTAAGACAGTTTTGAGCATTAACTTTTCTAGTTTGTCTTCTTAGTGCAAGACTTTAGTGCAAAGACTTTACTATGCATTCCTAGAATCCCATGTTCATCTTGTAGAACTCCTTGACAGAAAATCTGTTTGCAGTCTAAAACTGTTATTTATTTAAGCTTCTGCCTAAGGCTTTTAAATGTCATTATCTTTCTGATTTTTTTTAACATCATCTTTTATCATTGCAGTCAGAATTCCATGAAAAAGATACTTTTTATATCTTCAACCACGTTGACATAAAAATATATTACCATGTTGTGGAAAATGAAGCTCTGGGAGCAAGACTAGTTGCTGCTAAACTTGAACCAAGAAGGTTAGTACTCAGAAGTTACTTGTCATCAAACAGTCTTGGGTCCATCCCAAGATGCTCTCTCTGATTTGGGGACCTGAGGCTAGTCAGAAATGTTTTCACATACATGATGTGTAGATCAGCTTTCCTGTTGGCCGATACAGTGTAACGTAGGACAATCTAACGTAATTTTGTTCTGGATTAGATAAATCATGGTGGCCTGTTTCCTATTTGGGCCAAAAAACAGTAAAATGAAACCTGAAAGTGGCGTGTGTTCACTGAAGGCAACCCTCATTTCTCTACTTGGGAATGTTTTGTCTTGTGACTGACAGACCACTGGTGCCTGATGCAGGAGGGATTAGATTTCAACATTTGAGCTTCAGCAAGCAGAATTTGAATGGAATGATTTCACAAATACACTCTGTAGTTGTACAAAACCCATACATAGGCCAGAACAACTCTCTGTTATTGTTTCTTAGCATCTTATTTATACTTTTTATATCGTTCATCCAGTGTCATGATGAAAATACTTTATTCTGACAAAAGTTAGTTTTTGTTGTTGAGTGTTTTGCAGGTTCTTAGCAGTATTCAGACTTTCTAAATTTTTGATGCTCTGGTTTAAAGACCCTGCTCTCTATAGTTTCGTTTTTAGAATGGACAACTTTTGTTTAAAACTTAAAGTATCAAAAAGTCCTATACTGATGATACATTCCTTATGAGTTCTAAAATTTGAGGCATTAAAACCCATTTTTATATTTAAGGGAAGAATCCTGGAGGAGCCTGATGCTTTTTTAAGATGAATGAATTCTTTCTTAAGAGTGTTGTCATGGAAGCAGCTTTTTTTCTGTATTCTTTCTTTCCACAGTTACAAGCACACTCATGCAGACAACCCTGATTGCTCAGGACCACCTATGGATATAAGTAACAAGGCTAATGGAGAAGTCAAAATTGCTTACACATACTCAGTTTCTTTTCAAGTGAGTACTAAGCTTTCTCTGGTAGTTATCTCTTGAAATTGTGCATTAATACTCTGAATGCTAAAGATGGACAGTTAAAATTGTCTCAGAATAGTAAATTTGTGGGTTTAAAACTTCATTTGAACTAGAATGTCAGGGATGGCTTGGGATTTAACCACATGCTTTACAGTTTTGCCTATCACCCTACACACACACTGAATGTGAAATGCATGTGAGCGTTCTAAAAGAATCACTCTTTCCATGTTTACCTAGGTTGTGTGGTAGATTATTTTTCAATCCAAGCTCTTAAGTCTGAGAAATGGTGTCTTTCAGCAAATTACTGTTGTAGGTGGGTTGAAGCTGATCATTTTATGCTGTGCTGCTGCAAAAGCTTTCTTCTGTTCCATTTCTTCCTCCCATGGAAATCTGCAAAAGAGTAGGAAGCTGTATTCATTGTTCCTCTATCCTCTATTTTAAAAGCAGAGGAGCAGTATATCAGGCAAATACAAGGGGCAGTGATACTTGAATGTGTCTCATTCTGGTGATAAGCAAGAGAGATGAGTTGGCTTTTTGGTTTGGTTTGTTTTTTGTCTTTAATGGAGTTTGCTGGACAAACTGTTGTGGCATCAGCATAAGACCTCACGATGCAAGTGACTTACTATAAAGAGTGCAGGTTATAACTCGTTGAATTTCTTGACTCCTTGTGTATGTAATGAGGGAATAGCTCACACACACAGCAGTTTGTATTTTCAGCCTCAATAATTCTGTGATTCTCCTGGATATGAAAGAGGCTACTCCTTGTTTTTTTGTTGTTACGGACTTTAATCAAAATCTTAAAATTAATAGATTTAAAAAATAGCAATAAAGCAATTTTAAATTTTGTTTAACCTTTTTTCTTGGTCTGATTGCAAGGTCAGTGGTGTATCTCTAAAATGATAGGCCATTGTTGTATCAAGGCTGTTCATAGACCTTAGTTCCAGACTTGCTGTAAGTCTCAGTTCAGCTGTGATGAAATGGAGACTAAAGTTAAAGTTAGTTGGATGGCAACGTTGAGTCCAGGGTGTGGGATCCACTACCACTATCATAAGAACCACCAATAAAGCACTGATCTTACCATATCATTACATTGCCACAGTTTCTGAGGCCTTTTTTATCTCTCACAAGCTGTTATAGCAGTTTTTGTAGGAAAAAATGATCGTTGTTTACTCCAGTACATGGTAAAGTTCAAAATACAATAAATAGTGTAAGAAAAATATTCAGAAGGAATTATATTACATATGACTTAATAATTACACTTTGAGAAATTATATTGGTTGTGATGCTGAAACTAATTTGTACGCTGACAAAAGCCAGTACTTCTGGAAACCCGTGAGAAGTGAGTAATTAAGAACAACCTTAGCTTCATACTGTTATGTTGTTTCTCTTTAAAAATGACATGCCCAGCTCTGTGTGTGTTACTGTCCTGTGCACAATGCTGCCTTGCTTGGAGGTTTTCTTCTGGAATTCTGTTGGGTTGGCAGATCAGGTCACCACAGGAAGACAGAAGAAAGGCAGCGTAGGTATAGCGGAAGATGTGATCTTATCCTGGAGTTGTTGATACTGGCTTAGAAATGTGTGGCTTTCTTTGAGACCTGGTTTCCCTCAGAGAACTAGATATTTGATCTTGGCTAAATTTTAACCTACTGTTTTTTCTTTTCAAAAACTGGCTTTCCTGGAAAGCACTCTTGTACTTTATAAATGGCAGAAATAACATCTTGTCAGAAAGATACCTAGCCATTTTTATTAATTGATATTACTCTTTATGGTTTGTTTAGCAGCAATCTTCAGGTTGATCAGCACTGTTTATTGCTTTTTTTTCGTGTGTACTCTGAAAATTAAACAAAGAAATGTTCTTTTTGAAGTGTTTCTAAGAAATGAATGTTCAGTGTGAAAAAGTATAATCTGTTCAAATGCCTGAAGGAATAATTTGTTTCCTCTCTACTAACAATGAGTTCTGTAGCTGTCTTCCTATCTGTCTTGTAGTATAAGCTGCACGTAACTGGATTGGTAGCTGGTACTGAAATTGGGTTGTGTGAGAACAAAGGATGATTGGGACAGAGCACGAGCTAGAAAATGGGATATTATGCTGGAGACTATGTAGCAGAACTTAGTTTCTCAGTGTTGGTGGTGCTGACTTACCCTAAAACGTGCATGTTCTGTTGCTATTCTGCTAGTCATTTGAATTTCAGAAGGGAGGAAGCACAATTAAATGCATTTGATAGGCCTGTGTCTTAAGAAGATATGGATGCTCAGTACTATTCAGAAAATATTTTGGTTTCGATTCTGTGGTCACATCTCAGGTTTGATTTAGGTAGCTAAACTACTCCCTTTAAGGCACACAACATGAAATTTCCAGTGTGTTGTGAGATTTAAGATTACTTTGCATGAATGTCAACTTGTCAGTTTAGAGGTTGAATACCGACTGTATCTGATGTGTTTCCTCTTTCAGGAAGAAAAAAGTATAAGATGGGCATCAAGATGGGATTATATTTTGGAATCCATGCCTCACACTCACATTCAGTGGTTCAGGTGAGAAGAAAGTTTATCTTCAAGTGTACTGTACTGTGTTGGGTTTGTGTGGTGGGGTTTTGGTAGTGGGGCAGGGTCGGTAGGGGTAACTCCGGTGAGAAGCTGCTAGAAGCTTCCCTAGCTCTACATTGACCCCACCACTGGCCAAGGCTGAGCCAGTCTGCAGATTCACAGTGGAGTGGGTATCCACCTGCAGCCCGTGCAGGTTCACAGTGGAGTGGGTGGCTGTGCCCAAAGAGGGCTGTGACCCTGTGGGAAGTCTGTGCTGGAGCAACCTGTTCCTGAAGGACTTTACCCAATGGAAGGGACCCATGCTGGAGCAGTTTGGGAAAAACTGCAGCCCATGGGAAGGACTTGTGTTGGGAGAAGATTGTGGAGGATTGTCTCCCATGGGAGGGACTCTACACTGGAGGAGGAAAAGTGTGAGGAGTCCTCTCCCTGAGGAGGAAGGAGTGACAGAGACAACATGTGATGAACTGAGCACAACCCCCCATTCCCTGTCCCCCTGTGCTGCTGGGTGAGAGGAGACAGAGCAGATTTGAGCCTGGGAAGAAAGGAGAGGTCCAGGGAAGGATGTTTTTAAGATTCGGTTTTATTTCTCATTGTCCTACTCGTGATTTGATTAATACCAAATTAAATGGATTTTTTTTTCCCCAAGTGGAGTGTGTTCTGCCAGTGACTAATTGGTGAGTGATCCCTTCCTGTCCCTGTCTTGACCCATGAGCTCTTTGTTTTATTGTCATCTCCCTGTCCCACCAGATGCTTAGTTAACTGGTGCTTAGTTGCGAGCTGGGCCTAAACCACAACAGGTACTCGAGTGTTTACAGTTAAATTTGAGTGATGTCCTTTTTTTTTTTTTTTTTTTTTCAGTATTATGAATTCCTTGGTGATTGTCCTCTTTCTGTCTGGAATGGTAGCTATGATCATGTTGAGGACACTGCATAAAGACATTGCAAGATATAATCAGATGGATTCCACTGTAAGTTTAAAACGTACCTCCTAAAGCTTATTTAGAATGTCATTTTTTCAGCTGAATGTATTTCTGTAACAGGCTGGTTAAATGGCCACCTGCTGTATTAAAATAGCTGCATTTCCCTTACAGGAAGATGCTCAAGAAGAATTTGGCTGGAAACTGGTTCATGGTGATATTTTCAGGCCCCCAAGGAAAGGAATGCTGTTGTCTGTTTTCCTAGGCTCTGGCACGCAGATATTAATAATGACTTTTGTTACCCTATGTAAGTAATAAAGTGAGGAGGAATTAGTTCTAAGTACCGATGACTTTTTCACTGCTAATTGCATGGTGTGAGTAAAATAGCAGTATAGGTTTTGCCTGGAAATTTTTTTAAAAGTCTTAAGTTTAGAAACAGCTGAGCTGATATAGTAGCCGTGCAACCTGGTATACACCGATTTTAAGATAATTGATGTACTCACTTGAAGTCAAATGGATAGTTATGTTCTAAAATTATGTTTCTGCTTCATAGTTTTTGCTTGCCTGGGATTTCTGTCACCCGCTAACCGGGGAGCTCTAATGACCTGTGCTGTAGTTTTGTGGGTACTGCTTGGAACTCCAGCCGGTTACGTTGCTGCCAGGTTCTACAAATGTGAGTAGAAGTTATTTAACATGACAAGGCTTAAGTTCATTAAAGTAAATTATCATCACAGAACTGATTTTTATTTTCTAGTGCTGTTTGTAGTTTCCCTGAGGGCAAGCTGGAGAAACCTACTTACTTTAACAACAGAAAACATGTAGAACACTGAGGTGTTTACATTGGTCTTGATGTGATCATGCTTAGAGACCCTGAATTGCTCTTGCTATGGTGTATTTATGGAATTGGAAAGCAAATTCCATTTTACTAGTACTAAGCTTATTGCATCAGACAGTTTTGTACTTTTGTACTTTGTTTCCTACAGTTGTGGGGGCAGGGCAGTATTAACTTGCATGTAGTTTTAGCCATCAATGTGTCTTGGTAAAATGTTTTTTGTTTTTATCCCCATTCCTCCTCCCCACCCCCAAATCATGAACCTCTGTTCTTGTGTGCCTGAGATTTGTCACCTCTTTTCAGGTAGTTTCTATGCCTTTGGGAGAATAGTGCTTAGCAGACTATGGCAGGGGCACAGGGGGAAGGATTATGAGGTGTTTGTAGTTGTAGAAATCAACCCAGTGGTGTTTGGGCACCTGACAGCAGTGAGTTGGTACCATTTCCCTTCAGTGCGCTAGCTGTTGCTGTTGCTCTGAGGCCTGCCTGCCAACCCCAAGTGGTTTGCCCCTGGGCCTTCTGGTGTATTTTGAGGTGAAGTGTGCCATTCTGGTGGAGCTTGCTTTAGTGACCTTAGTCAGGGTGAAGGGCTCTTTATGACTGAACCAGCTGGATGTTTTTTGACAACTGTAGTTCTGAACATAGACGGCTGGAGGAGGAGTTTATTTCTGAACTTCAGCCTGGCAGGAGCCCTTGGGGCTCTCTTCTAACCATTTTGTAATTCTCCCATGGGGTGAACCACTGGGGAAAGAGGGTTTATATTTTGTAAGGAGTTTTTCCACAGTGGTAAGGATGTGACAATGAATTATTCCTAATCTTCAAGCCTGTTGGACTTAAATGGAAAGAGACATTAGGACTAAGAGCATAATTGAGAACAGAATTATTTGTTCTATCGTGCTGTATATTGTGTGTTTTGAAGGCTATTTTTAAGTGTATTGATGGTTGAATCCTGTGTCTTTGGTAGAGATGTAGCTAATGATAATTACATTTCATGTTATACTCACTGGGAACCATTTAGCTGATACTTGAATATTGTGTTTAGCTACTAAGCCAGTGACTGACTGATCCAGAGATTATATTGCTGCATAAAACGAGGTGGTCCATGCCCTGTTCAAAGCGTGTAAACATGAATGTTTCTACTTACACTATACAAATAAAGTGATATGAGACATAAAACAAAATGCAGCTGAAACAGATACCAGTATTAAAACCGGTTTGTTTTTTTTTCTCCAACATTGCATTTTAAAAAATGAAAACCAAGTTGAAATTAAATAGTTAATAACCAGTGTCATGTTCTACCAGGATTATTTGAAGAAAGAGAAACTTAATTAAAATCACTCTACCCATAACCGCTTCTGAGGGGAAGAAGCATGTCATTATGGCAGTGCTCAGATGAAGTTGTCAGCTTCACTGACATCCACAAGATATCTTCACTTGAAAGTATGCTGACTAGAATTCTTATCAGCACAGTGCAAATTCGTATTTTCTTAATGAAGCTATCTTTGGTCTTTTGGTGTCACCACCACTTAACTGCAGTTAGGACATCTGTCCTTCTTGTAGGCGTGGTAGTCCTGACTTCCTTCTAAGATCTGTAGACAAGAATTACTTGAAGAAAACTGTTCAGCTTGCCTTTCACAATTTTCAAACTCAAAAATTTGTCTAATTTTTCCTACTGAAACCTGCAGTCAAAATACTAGAAAGCTTAAACTTCTTAATCACTCCAGGGCTAAACTGGAGTTTTAACTGGAGTGAAGCAAATCTACTTCCTCTTTTTAGTAGATGAGGTTGTCAGAGACACAGTTTATTTAGTTGGGTAGTTTTCCTGACCTTGGTCTGGGGCTTTGCTTTGCTTTGAAGCTCTGATTAAGCAATATGATGAGGGAATTCAGTTTTATTGCTGAAGATTTAGTCTACTAACGTGGGCATGATAGCACATTATTTGAGTATTTGCAAGCAAAGTATGACAGGTAAATGGACTGGAAAATTAATAGTTGTGAGCTTAATGCATGTTTTAATGACTGTCAAATGTTTTAATACAGCGTTTGGAGGAGAGAAATGGAAAACAAATGTCCTGCTGACATCATTCCTTTGTCCTGGGTAAGTTTTGAGTATCACCGTGATTAAAAGAATTAAATTGCTTCTCTGACATGCATAACTAATATTCAGCTACACAACTAAATCTTATTACATCATCCCTTCATTCCAGAGGCTATAAGAACATCTCAGCACTTTTGCACTTTTGACAAAGATAGATATGTTAATGGCCTATCATCCTTAGGTATTTGTTTTAGTCAGCATTTGTTTACTCTCGCCACATGAAAAGGTTGATTAAGAGAGAGCATTATGATAGTAGTAAGTTTTAGACAGGCACATTTTTTCATTGCTTCCTTTTACTCTCTAGGCTGTTTCTCTGACCACGCTGTAGTTGGTCTTACATAGTGTCATATACTGTATAAGCACTGTGATAAATTTCTGTACCTAATCACAGCAAGTGGTCTTACCCTGAAGTGTAGTTAAGACAAGCATATATTTGAAGTTGCTTAGTTGGTACGTCAGCTCCTGCTGGAGTTCAATCCCACTAGATTAACAAAGGATTGCTTGTGTCACCTCTGCATTTTGATATTTTGTGTGTCGCTGGGTTTTGATGAGTTTTAGACTGAAATCTTAATGCAGTGGTATTGTTTTGTTAAAGTTATTAAATATTGAGGAGTATTTCTATGCTTTTAAGTGTGTTATGTATTTTTCAGAATTGTATTTGCAGATTTTTTCATCATGAACCTCATTCTGTGGGGAGAAGGCTCTTCAGCAGCTATTCCATTCGGCACCTTGGTTGCCATTTTGGCGCTCTGGTTTTGCATATCTGTACCACTGACTTTCATTGGTGCCTATTTTGGGTTTAAGAAAAACGTAAGTGTTCTTGAGAAATGGTCTGGTAAGTGTGTGCCTAGACGTGGAAGCACGGGTACCTTGTTGTCCCTGAGTGAGCTAGCACTGAGGCTGGCTGCATTGTCCATTCCAGGCCTCGTCACTTCCTCCAGAGCTGCCTCAGACACCCAGTCTTGGGATTCCAGCATTTGGATATCCAGTTGTGTGGTGGTGGTGGTGATATTTTTCTGCAATGATTAGGATTATAATTTTGTTTTTCTGAGTGACTGCTCAGATAAAGCAGTAATTTGGATGTTTTTGGTTTAGTTAGCATCTCTTTCATTACTGAAAAAATTAGTTGACCCAGCCAAGCATAAGAGAAATCAATTTGTGCATTTCTGGTTTTCCCCCATGTTTTTGATTCCTGTCTATGCTGATTCCCCTATGCTGAGGCTATTTTGTGGTGAAATTGCTACAGTTCTTGTGAAACCTCTTTGCATAAATGTCCTCTACGTGGTTATCACTGCTTGACAGACTTTTGTTGGGATTTACTCCTAAACTGATCAATTTTACTTCTTTATGTGAGGACTTTTTGTGACACAGGCAACCATACCTTCTTAAATAATAAAATCAGTTCTTCTCTTTTTGCTTAAAAAGTGATTTACTGTGCCCCACAAAGATCTAAAAATTCAGTTTTGTCATTTTTCCTCTACAGGAAGCCAGAGTTTCAGCTCTCTGTAGCTTTCATGGAATACCTTCAGAGAACATTTCAGTATCTTAGAAGGCACTTTTTAAGTCAATTGTAGTTACCCTGTTTTTCTGAACCAGAATTCAGTGGGTTTTTTTCTGATAACCATGGTGAAATTCCAGCAAACCCACCTGCATTGCACAGAGTCCGTTTCCTTAAGAAAAGAGGATTTGATCAACTATAAAGCAACATGACGGGTGTCACAAATACATTAAAATGAACTCAGAGAGCAAGTACCTACCAAGTATCTGTTGATGCTGTTGATGTGATCTTTATGAAAGGGAAAGGTGGCAGAGCATGCATTTATCTGTCTTGAATTTTTTCTCCCATCATGCAGATCGATGCATGCATCTTAAATTAGGATTTAATTGCCATATTGAATCCTCTCTGTAAGTTTACCCCAATGTGATTCTTGGAATAAATCCTAAAAAAACAACATACAGGGATTTTTAGAAGAAGAAAACGAGTCTGCGCCACCACTACCTCACAGCTGAAAAAAAAACAGCTCAGGCTCTGTAACAAATCATAGCTAGGCAACCATAAAAAGGGAAGTCCAAAATATCTGTTGCTGTGTTTTCAGTCAGAGCTGCCTTTCAGCTTGTTTGCCTAGCAAATGTTGGTAGCTATGCTCATAGCAACACCAGCTAGCCGTAGTAGTGGTAGCTGGGTATGCACATGCCCAAAACAAGCTGCAGGTATTTGCCAGCACTCGTTTCAAACAGAAAGCCAAACGGCAGTGCTGGAGTTGGACATGTTACTGACTTAGCGATTTCTCCTTTTCCCTTAAAGGCGATTGAACACCCCGTTCGCACGAACCAAATCCCCCGTCAGATCCCTGAGCAGTCCTTCTATACAAAGCCATTGCCTGGGATTGTCATGGGAGGGATCCTGCCTTTTGGGTGCATCTTCATACAGTTGTTCTTTATTCTCAATAGTATTTGGTAAGTTAACCATGGTCTGTTGGAGTTTTCTCTGTCACAAAAGGTGGTAATTCCTTTGTGAAACATTTCCTTAAAGATGCCTGCACTGATTTTTGGTGATGGAGGGTTACCAGAATACTGGTTTAATAAAAATGTTAATGTTAACATCTTTTTAACATGTTGTCACTGAGAAGATACTCGGTGCCAGTTTTGCTTGTTGAGGTGTGTAGAGCAGTGGCTGTGACATGCTTAGCAGTTTACAGCTGATTTAGGATACTCACTTAGCTAGTTTTCTCATGCTACCCCTCCGACTGTGTGTGGAAGTGGCTCTGAAGCTGACACAAGGCACATAACTTCAGAGTACTAAGGATATTAAAATTGACTGGAGGGTTTTTTATACTTGTTGGGCTAGAAAAGTATTACTGCTCCTGGGGGAGAAAAAAAGATAAAACCAAAACCACACCAACCAAATTTAGTTTTTGCACCAGAAAATAATTCTTTTCAAATCTAAAGCTCCAGAGACTGGTGCAGTGTAAGTGAACTCTGATGGGAGCTTGTAGCACACTGACAAACTAATCTACTGTGAGGGATTTGTCTTCCTCTGGCACAATTTAGTTACTGGTTCTTGTTAAACTGTTTCTGAACCTTGAATAGGTGCCTTTACCCAACATAGACAGCTACAGCATTTGACATTTCTTGATATTTTGCAGCTCTGCCTCTTTGATTGAAATGTGAGGTGAAATCCAGGATCTGCTGAAGTCAGTGGAAGAGGTCACGCTGACTTCACTAGAACTGTAATTTCACTCGTTATGTCCAGTCAGTTCTTTCAAGCCAGGACCATGCCTTGGGCTTTGCTTCCTCACTCTTTTCAGACTGAGTTGCCAAGGCTTCTGTTCTGCAGTTAGAAAACAAATCAGCCAGCTGTAGGGCCATGCAATGGCCAGTACCTCA